CAATTTAGTAGTTGGCTGATCATGTCTTAGTGTCTCTACTAAACTACGCCCTTGAAAATCATAACAAGCGATGCCTAACTTTGAAAACTATAGTTCTCCTTAAATATGAAGAGCTCAAACAACAGATTAATGAGTTGCACCAAATTGCACAAAAAGCTTATGGATGTAATAATAAGTCAGACATTGAAGTGAGTTGCTGTTTTTGTCTCTTCTGAGGAAGATTCATTCAACATTCTTTTGAATAGACTAGAAAATTATGTTGGCATTAGAGGAAGTGCATTGGCATGGTTCAAATCGTACTTAGCTGACCGCTATCAATTTGTGGCAGTGAATGAAGAGGTATCATATATAAACAGACTCATATATAAACAGTGAATGAAGAGGTATCATACCAATCACAACTGCAGCATGGAGTACCTCAAGGCTCAGTACTAGGACCATTACTTTTCACGCTTTACATGTTACCCCTGGGAGATATTATTAGGAAACATGGTGTTAGCTTTTACTGTTCTGCTGATGATACTCAGCTCTATATTTCGAAACATACCTTATTTGCAAAACTCACGGAATGCATAGTTGATATAAAAAACTGGATGACTAGTAATTTCATTTTTAATTATAGGACCAAAAACCTCCGCATGTACTACCCTAGAACACTGTCTAATAATTGATGGCTGCTCAGTCAATTCTTCATCATCAGTTAGGAACCTAGGTGTGCTATTTGATAGCAATCTTTCCTTGGAAAGCCACGTTTCTAGCACTGGTAAAACCGCATTTTTCCATCTCAAAATATATCTAAATTACGACCTATGCTCTCAATGGAAAACACAGAAACGTTAATTCATGCGTTCATGACCTCAAGGTTAGATTATTGTAATGCTTTATTGGGTGGTTGCTCTGCGTGCTTAATATACAAACTCCAGTCCTCTGCACAATCTGACTTTGTTGCAACCTAGAATTAAACTGCTGGTTTTGTCTGGCCAGAGGAGAATGTCACACTATTTTGACACACTATTTCCCTGTTTAATACTGTAAAGCTGCTTTGACACAACCTGCATTGTAAAACGTGCTATATAAATAACGGGGACTTGACTTGTTTTGTACAAAAAGACATTTTGATCAGATTTTTGAATATTCAATCTTATTTTGTAAGTGACTCTTTCTGTTTTAAAGATGTTTTCCTTGGATTGTTTGACTACTCTAAAGAGAATATAGCAAAATATAACTTAATTCATTTGTGACAATTTTCAAGCGACAGCTGAAAACTCATCTCTTTCGAAACTACTTGACTTCATCATAAAAAAAAATAAAAAAAAATAAAATAAAAAAAAAGTATCTCTCTCTTTATTTATTCCTTCTCTTTCTAGCTTGTACTTATTTGAACAATGTCTAAGAACTTGGTATTGCAACCACTTCTTGTGTCTGTTTGCCTCTTTAAGAAGAATCGCTTTATGTATCCCCCAATTGCTCAAGGCTCAGTACTAGGACCGTTACTTTTCACGCTTTACATGTTACCCCTGGGAGATATTATTAGGAAACATGGTGTTAGCTTTTACTGTTCTGCTGATGATACTCAGCTCTATATTTCGAAACATACCTTATTTGCAAAACTCACGGAATGCATAGTTGATATAAAAAACTGGATGACTAGTAATTTCTTACTGTTAAATTCTGAAAAAAAGAGTTGTTAATTATAGGACCAAAAACCTCTGCATGTACTACCCTAGAACAACGTCTAATAATTGATGGCTGCTCAGTCAATTCTTCATCATCAGTCAGGAACCTAGGTGTGCTATTTGATAGCAATCTTTCCTTGGAAAGCCACGTTTCTAGCACTGGTAAAACCGCATTTTTCCATCTCAAAATATATCTAAATTACGACCTATGCTCTCAATGGAAAACACAGAAACGTTAATTCATGCGTTCATGACCTCAAGGTTAGATTATTGTAATGCTTTATTGGGTGGTTGCTCTGCGTGCTTAATATACAAACTCCAGTCCTCTGCACAATCTGACTTTGTTGCAACCTAGAATTAAACTGCTGGTTTTGTCTGGCCAGAGGAGAATGTCACACTATTTTGACACACTATTTCCCTGTTTAATACTGTAAAGCTGCTTTGACACAACCTGCATTGTAAAACGTGCTATATAAATAACGGGGACTTGACTTGTTTTGTACAAAAAGACATTTTGATCAGATTTTTGAATATTCAATCTTATTTTGTAAGTGACTCTTTCTGTTTTAAAGATGTTTTCCTTGGATTGTTTGACTACTCTAAAGAGAATATAGCAAAATATAACTTAATTCATTTGTGACAATTTTCAAGCGACAGCTGAAAACTCATCTCTTTCGAAACTACTTGACTTCATCATAAAAAAAAATAAAAAAAAATAAAATAAAAAAAAAGTATCTCTCTCTTTATTTATTCCTTCTCTTTCTAGCTTGTACTTATTTGAACAATGTCTAAGAACTTGGTATTGCAACCACTTCTTGTGTCTGTTTGCCTCTTTAAGAAGAATCGCTTTATGTATCCCCCAATTGTAAGTCGCTTTGGATAAAAGCGTCTGCTAAATGACTAAATGTAAATGTAAATGTAAAATGTGTCGCCTGCCAGCTTACTAAACAAAAATCTGGCTCTAAACCTCTCTTTTCTTTATTCAGAGTTGATCCATGGATATGGAAACTATCCAAAGTTCTGTTGATCCAAAAGCAGTGCAAACTGCATCTCTATATTCATCCTATGTGTCCTCTTAAGGTGAAAAAAACAAAACATGGTTAAGATAGTTAAACCATGATAACCTCGAATTAACCATGGTTTTGCTACATTATAGTTTAATCGTGGTATTTAGTAAAATTGTGGTTATACAAAAAAAAGCATGGTAACTACACTTTTATTATAGTAAAACCACCGTTAATTATCTTAAGGGATTTGTAGTATAGGCTACTTTATTTGTTATTTTTCTTTTTTGTTTTAATAACTGTAGGCCTACTACCTTAATGATTTGACAAATGAAACTTGCGATCTAAATCAAATGATTCGCGATACATGATCCGATTGGAGCGCTTCGAAACAGTGAATCATTTTGCGATGCAATGGTTTAACTGATTCGGAATTTCGAAAAGCTCGGTTTCACCGATCACTATGCGCTTTTTAAAATCATTACCAGCGATGCTGAAATTCAGAAATGAATGGCTCTTTTGATCTGGTTTGTGCTTGGACTGAATGATCGAAGTCATGAGTCTGAATCACTCGAAGCGGTTCCAGCGTAAATTACTCACTCAATTTAATCAGTTTTTCTGTTCCTCCGGTTTTCGCGTCTTCAGCTATGTTTACTCGACACTGTCAGCATTACTATTGACTTAGCTCGCTAGTTTTATGACGTTAACTGAAATAAGTGAAAAAAGTATGATGTTTACAAATAAAATATCCATATTTCCATTCCAAAGATAACATCAACACAAATCTATGAACATATTCAGGTGAGATAACCGGTTTACTGCTAACTAGTCAAACACTCCATTAATATGACGAGCTGCAGCTCAGAATACATGTTAGATGAAACATTGTGCATTATGATCGAGTTTGTAGCTTAATTCACTATATTTGAAATAGTTTGAGCTGCAGTTCAGTTCAGTAGGAAATCAGTTGAAAGCATCCAGTCGTTTGAAGTGAATTGAAGTGAATATTCAATTTATCAGTATACTGTATATACTGAAATTACAACAACAGTGGTTACATACACATATATTTAAACATTATTGCTAGGGACAATTTAGTAGTCGCTGGATATTGGTAAGGACATGTCCCTACTAGCATCCCTACTAAATTCTACGCCCTTGTTATAATATAATGTCATATTTTTTTAATGTTTTTAATGACACACACAGTGGATCATGTTTACACACACACATGCACGCGCACCCACACACACACACACACACACACACGTCCAGTGCAGGCGTGACCTTTATAATCATGTGAAAGTTGACACCTATCAGACAGGCCGCGCTCCAAACGAGTCAATTAAACACAAGATCTCTGCTAAACTCCACCCACAACTGTGTCCCTCCTTCAGGGACCAATGAGGCGTCAGCATGAACACAACACACAGAGTGAAGAGAGTAAATGTCAAAACAAGAACAAAACAAAAGCATGTTTTCAATACCAGCGTCAATGTAGTGTGAAAAACAATGTTACATAACATCAGAAACACTCACACACACCTGCTGCACGCGTGTTCACACACACACACACACACACACACACACACACACAATGAACAAACACACAGTACAACACACAAACGCCTAAAAAAAACACATTTGACCTAAAGCATATTTATATATAAGTGACAACTGCACTTAAAGTAGTTAAAATAGTTCATACTCTTTAAAAATACTAGTTACAACAGAATACTAAGAATATTATTAATATATTATCAACATATTAAATCTGTTAATCAGCAAACCTTTTTTAAACTTAAAAACATGCTATATATATGAATTAAAAAAATCTGAATATTTATCTGAAACAAAGAAGTTTTGATGACTGCATTAAACTTTACAAATAGATTTACCAAACATGCTAAATATTTAGTAAAATATTATACAAAAATGTATAAATTAATAAATATTGAACTATAAAATGTATATGCACACTGAAAGTTATTTGTTTTGAAAGAAATTAATTTTATTCAGCAAGGATGAATCAAAAGTGACTGAAGACTGGAGTAATGATGCTGGAAATTCAGCTTTGATCACAGAGATAAATTACATTTTAACACATATTCACACAGAAAACAGCTCTTTTAAATTCTAATAATATTTCACAATTTTTACTGTTATTACTGTATTAAATAAATGCAGCCTTGTTGAGCAAAAGAGACTTCTTTCAAAAAAAATGTTTTTTAATCTGAATTATTCCAAATGTTGAATGGTAGTGAGTGAAAATGTAAAATGATTATGATTATATTTAATTATGACTACGAAATGCAAAAAATTAATAAATTCATACATATGTAATTTTTTTTATTCCCTCACACACTCACAGGCTGATGTCGGCATCTAATTTCTTGGTATCGTCGTTTCTCTCCACCTTGTGCTGGTTCTGACCCAGATGAGCAAATCTATAAACACACACAGATAAACAATGAAAGCATCAGTGAATGAATGAAAAATCACAGAATCAGCAGCAACAAATCATTTCAATACTCAATTCACAGGTCAAAGCAGCTGCAACAGAAGCCTCAGCAGGGAGTCGTGACATTTCACTGATATCAGATACTGAAACTCCTGATCAAAGGTTGACAGAGTTTCCTTGAAAGTTCTGCATTTTACCTACGGAGGTGTGTGTGTGTGTGTGTGTGAGTGTGTGTGTGTGTGCGCATGTTTATCTGGTTTATGAGGACACAAATTTGTATAATAACATGGGTATGACATAGGTATTACAACGAGAAGGTGCTTTATGAGGACATTTTCAGTGTTCCCGTAATTCAAAAGGCTTATAAATAATTCAGAATGAGTTTTTTTGAAAATCTAAAAATGCAGAAAGTCTCCTGTGAGGGGTAGGTTTAGGGGTAGGGTTGGTGTAGGACAATAGAATATACGGTCTGTACAGTATAAACACCATTACGCCTATGGAGAGTCCCCATAAACCATAAAAACAAACCTGTGTGTGTGTGTGTGTGTGTGTGAGTGTGTGCGCGTGCGCGTGTGTGTGCATGTCAAGCTGCTGATGGAAGTAATTTGACTCAGACAGCTTCATGGATTCTCTGGAGAAAGAGACGGCGTGTGGAGAACAGCGTGAGATGACTAAACGCAGCTTTCTGAGGAACACAGAGAAGCAGCTCACTACAACTAAACTACAACTAAACCAGAAAAAAAAAAACATTTGTGTTACTTGAAATAAATGTTAACTGAAACATGAAAAAAAAATGTAAACGTATTTTATTTCAGCTCATTAACTAAATTTAAAGCCATAAAACACATTTTTGTTACTTGAAATAACTTAAACATGAACTCAAATCAAATAAGTTATAACTTATATAACTTATTTTATTTCTGCTTGTTAAAATACTATTTTGTATACTATTGTTGTTTTTATTCATATTTTTATTTAGCTTTATTTTTATATTTTCTTGCTAAATATTACTTTTTGGTTTTAATTTATTGTTATTTCAGTTTGAATTTTTTTTGCTTCATCTTAAACTTATTTCAGTTTAAATTTTTAGTTCAAGATTTTCATCTAATATTTATATTACATTTTCCCTCTTTTTTAATTAACAAAAATGTATAGTTTATTTATTAATTTATTTTTGGTTTTATTTTTATGATTTCATTTTATATTGTAATTAAAGTTTCCTTTTTAATATTATTATTTGGGTTTCATTTATATTTTATTTCAGTTTTAGCTTTTCTTTATTTCCCGTTAGTAATTTTAGTGCTTTTGGGTTTAAATTTCATTTTGTTTAAGTTTTTCATTTAATACTTAGTTAATATATTAGTTAACAATAATAACCTTAACTCAAATTTGAATGTCGGACATGCAACAAACTTATTACAGTTTTGGTAAACCGTTGTGAACAGTTCCAGTTTTTAATTTCTGCAACAATTCATCATATAATCTCAGTGAATAATTATAAAAGACCATGAGAGACAACTGAATTTGTTCTGAAGACATAAAAACACAGTATTAAGTGCACAAGCACACATAAAGACGGGCATTTCCAAGACAGAAACACGTCTGTGAGGGACGGGAACATAAAAGCGGTTCAGAGGGTGAAGAATAAGTCGATCACAGACACGTGAGTCCTTCAGCTCATCACACTCTTGACCGTCTCAAACCTGTCTTAAGTGTCAGTGTAAGACATTCCTGATCACTGAGGTCAAATCCCGTGATTCCCATTCATCAGGACAGCAAGAGAACCACGTGACATGAGCTGTGTGTGCAATAGGAGTCTCACTTTCTTGATACTTTTTTGAGTTTTCGATCAATTATATTAACATTTTACAGAAACGTATATTTGTATCCATCAAGGATGCATCAAATTGATCAGAAGTGACAGTAAAGACATTTGCAATGTAACAAAAGATTTCTATTTCAAATGAATGCTGTTCTTTTGAACTTTCTGTTCATCTCTGAATCGTGAAAAATAAAACGTATCACGGTTTCCACAAAAATATTGAGCGGCACAACTGTTTTCAACATTGATAATAATCAGAAAGGTTTGTTGAGCAGCAGATCAGCATATTATACTGATTTCTGAAGATCATGTGACACTGAAGACTGGAGGAATGATGCTGAAAATACAGCTGCGCATCACAGAAATACATTACAGTTTAACACATATTCACATAGAAAACATATTTTTAAATCATAATAATATTTCAAAATTTTTACAGTATTTTTGATCAAATAAATGCAGCCTTGGTGAGCAGAAGAGACTTCAAAAATCTTATTGTATACAGGAAAGTATATTGTTCTTGCTGTATGTGTTTGAAAGCAGCATAAAGCTGTTTAACAGTCCGTCCAAACACATCAAACACTGAGAAGTGAACTGAAGGGTCTCCCTCACTAACGAGCCGCTGTTACGTAACGACTAACGGTTTGATGGGTGTTTCCCTCCGGCGGCCCCTGCGTTTCTCGGTTTTACTCGTATACATACTGATTAAACTCAAGACGTGACTGATGCGACGTTTCACACACACCAGAGTAATTACAGTGTCACAGGTAATGAGGTTTTCACATTTAAATATTTCATCAGCCGCGGTCGTTGAGTTTATCACGGCGTTTGTGAGCGAGGCCTTCCACGTGAGCTGTATGAGAAATGAAGCTCCGCTAGAAAATAACTCTAGTGAAAAACGAACGTGAGAGAACAAAAACACTCAACTGACAGACTGAAGACTTTAGGCCAAAATCGACATTTTTCTATATTAATTTGTGCATTTTTCAAATGTTTATTAAAAGTGCAAAAATTCATTAACAAAAATCTGAAAAGAAGTCAATATTTAACTTTTTCTGGCAGCATTTTGTGCGTGTGGTTCTAATTTCAATTTTGGTTTTCAGCACAGCATTAAAAAACACAATAACCGTTCTTTTTTCATTTTTTTTCCCGTCATGGTTAAAATGGACCATAAATGTAAAAAAAGGAGGGGGGGGGGGTTTGGGTTTAAAAAGAAAAAAGCAATAGGAAAAAAAAATTTATGTAAAAATTGTAAAAAAGACACAAAAAAAAACAAAAACAGATTTTCCAAAAAAAAACTAAAAAAATGAAAAGGGATAACCATCAGTTCTGCTGGCTGCATGTCATGTTCACGTGTCACAGCTGTGTCTGTAACTGCTGCTTACACATATTTACTACAGATTTTAGTGCAGGAAACATTGACTGAATACTCACTTCTGCTCTCCTGACATCTACTAAATCACACACAACACTGCCTTCATCCATTCACACATCAACGTGTGTGTGTGTGTGTGTGAGTGTGTAAATGTGTGTGTGTGTGTGTGTGAG